TTACAGGAGATGTAGGGGTTATGTAGAGGTTTTTTAGGTGGATATAGGGTTTAGGGTTTCCCGAAATTAGGGGGTACTGTTGAGGGGTCCCCATAATAAGGGCTATAGTATTTGGGCGTCTACAGTGGGGTCCCCTGTTCTTGGGAAACTACCATTTCTAATTTTATTTTCAAGACTACGTTATTTTTTTGTTATTCATATCATGGTCAAACTACCCCAAACGAGCTGCGTTGCAAAGATTTGCAAAGCAACAGGACGCTTGGACTCGGCGTCCTGCTGCCTGGCCTTAGTCCCAGATTGCAAGAAGTTGACCCTGCATTGCAAACCAGGTGCAGCAAGGATTACATTAGGGTTTAGGGTTAAGGGTTTGAGCCAGAATCTAAGCTCAAAAAGGGTTTATAAGTTGTTATTATATAGAGCATATTTCAGGGGTGATGAAGGGGATACTAGGAGTTTAGACTATAGCTCATATAGGGGTTCTATCGGGATTATACAGGGATGTTACCCTCCAGAGCCTTCAATGAGCAATACATAGCCATTCAAAACTTGTAGTTATATCAAACTCCGACGAGCAGTATGTGTCTAAACCCATTAACAGGTGGCCCAAATGCTTCCCAAGACAAGTTCTCCACTGACAATTCTAGTGTTAACCAACATATCCGGCCCATCCAGCGCTTGCAACCGCTGCTTTCCACAGGGCTCGTCTATTGACGCTGGATCGACGCTTGCCGGCAATGTGACAAGCAGGAAATTCAGAAAGATGCAGTTTTTTTGGACTTTTGGAAACCGTGGTGGTATTTCCCTGTCCCTTTCTGGAAAAGGGGTGTTGTGCTGTTTGAAACTCCTCATTCAGAGTAGCAGATGCCTTGCAGTCAAGCAGCGGTGTCTTGCCCAGACCTTTCAGATGCAAGGCGCTGAGCGAAGCTTTGACAAGGGCCTGGATACTGCAGGCCTGCTCTGTCAACATGCTGCTGCATGATGTAAAGGTCTATGGTCACATGAAGACAGACTTCATGCGGCACGAAAAGATCTAAAAAGCTAATAATGTGGCCTGTGTTGTTTCTCTGCGATACTGTTAGCCTGTGAGTCGCTGTCTCTGACCTTCATTGCTCACGCAATCTCATGTGGGTTCCTCGCATCAGCCTGCAAAGACCTGCCAAGAATGCAGGGAGCTTCTGCTCGACTACATGGCACAGCTCTCGAATATCGGGCTCGCTGAGCACGAAGGGCAGTCGCTGGGGCCTGTTGCACATACAAACCGGACCATGTCCAGTGCGTCAGCGGGAATTGCCAACCGGGTGCGCAGACACGCAGCGACCCAAATGACAGGCTTTGGCAAGCTGCAGCTCTCTGACTCTTGGCTTCACGAATTTGGTGTTCAGAGGCACTGCTGACGCACATCAAATTACAGACAGATATGCTTTGTCAGCAGAAAGTTGTTGTACGAGCTGTTTGAGTACTCAAGTTGCAAGCAATGATCTTTCTTGAATGGTGTTGTAGTTCTTTACGAATGGTTGCCGGTGTCTCGAGGACAGCCTTTCAACCCGCCCGTCATCACAGCGGCTGCCCTACCGCCGACAGCTCAACGGGCAGGCAGGAGAATGCCATCATATTTGCTAGGCCTGATTTCTGAAAGTTATACGAATCAGATCAAGCCATGCATAGATCCGTGCGGCGGATCAGCTGACGCATCAAATCACACCAGTCAGCCGATCAGATCAGCCAGATCGGCGGATCAGATCCAGGGGTGGCCGCGGATCATGTCAGTGGGGAAGCACGAATCAGATCAAGGCGCAAGCCAGATCCGAGCATGGTCCATGAGCGCACGGTGGATTGGGGTGTAGGACTCAGCGTTTAGCAATCAATAAGGAGGATTTGGTCGGCCGGTTTCAGGGGTTTAGGCTTTAGGTTTCAGGTTTTAGGGTGTTGGGTTTAGGATTTCGAGTTTTTGCTTAATGATATGTGTTGAGGCTTTGGGGTCCGGAGTTGACGGTTCAGGGTTTAGGCTGAGGCTTCAGGGTCTTGGGTTGGGGGTTTGGTCTAGGGTTTAGGGTTTAGGGTTGTAGGCTGTAGACGTCAGGGTGAACGTAAGGTTTTCTACGGTTGGGTATTTAGGGGTTTAACCTGCAGGTTTCAGAATTTAGGGTTGATGGCTTGGGGACAGGGGTGGCCAGGTAGGAACTCAGGATTTGAGAGTTTAAGGTTGGGTTTGTAAGGTTTCGGGCTGAAGGTCTCAGATTCGTGTAGTCGTCTAGGGTTTTGGGCTTCAGGGTTAGGGGTTGTAAGATGTTGTAAGGTTGACTCAGTGTTTAGGTCTTTAGTTGGGTTTTTGGTTTAGGGGTTTAGGGACACGCGCCCATCCGATCCGACCTGTGCCGATCTCATTCGCGCCCACCGCGATCCGATTCGTGCCGCAGCCGCTTCGGCCTATCGCAGAAGTAAGCAGGCCACACAGGTGAGCTTGCAATGCAACATTTGTCGATGCCGTTATGCCAAGTCGTGCAGGTTGCACCAGGGTGGTCTTTGAGATATTGCGAGCTACTGGGCGTGGGTGCGCCAAGCAGCATGCGAAGGCGGGACGAGCCCTTCTGAAGTCATCCGAGCACCCATGAGGAGGATCTTGCTTGCATATCCTTTCTCAGGATCAACAGACGTCAGGCTGTTGTGGTGCACTTCTTAGTCGTTGATTGTACAGACGTGGAAAGGGCCCAACACACGTGTTTAGTTCCGCCTTATCCATGACGGCAATGATGCAGTTTCCTACAGGATGCTCTCAGGGAATGTCTGGCAAGGGCAACGCGAAGGGTAACGAGTAAAGTGCCTAGTTGTAGAGTCTGTGCCATGTTGCCTTCAATCATATTGACGTAAACATTAAACATTGTTCAATATTGTTTATATATATATATACGTAGCCCTGAGCACAAGTTTTTGAGGCCCTACCGTCGGACAAGCTCCGCAATGGCCTGCAGAGCGAGACGTGCCCAGGCTGCAACCCATGGGTTTAGGCGCTGGACCTCCCAGCTGCTGCTATTTTAGCCGTCGGAACAATTATCGCCTTCAAAGATGTTGGTGTCACATGTTGTAACCACTGGGCCTTGGCGACATCACTTTGGGCAGAGTTACCTTTGAGAGATTGCTGCCCTGACCATTGGGCCCTTATATACCTTTAGTCTGGTAGCCTATGCTTCTACTGGGTCAGTTCTAGGAGACGCTACTTTCTCCCAGGGGTCTACATAAGTATCCTTGCTGACTCCTTCGCTCAGATGGGGTCAGGGTAGTCTTACTACGGTTGCCATGAACAGTCAAAAAAAATTCCAGGCGGACTTACCCTGAACCCTGTGCCCGGGCGCTGTAAGGGAGAACTCGGTTTTCTTGGCCTCGAACCCTCGCGGTGCTGTGCTGAGCTTCTGAATGATCTGGGGGTTTCTCAAAATTAGGGCTTAGGGATAATGTATACGGGATTTATATAGGGATGTTGTATAACAGGAGATACCGGGATGTAGGGCGCAATAACAGAGAATCAAATGGAGCATTGACAATTAACTGCAAACTGGGTTCGCATCGCATTTACAGGTCCCAAATATAATTACCGGGTCCCCCGCAGCTAGGATTATCAAGGATTGCAGCAAAGCATTGCCGCACTGTAGTCCTTTGCGGTAGGCGACACAGGTTCCGCAGAAAGGCATTGTGCCACTATGCATTCAACAACTTTGAACAGAGCCAACAAGTCAGCGCTCAGGCAGAGGACTTCTTAGACCATCAGCAACGGGATTCTGCCAGGACGATATGTCACAACAGAACCACGCAACAAATTTTTGCTTATTGTTGCTAAAGCTCAAAACCCGGCAAGGCGGACATGCGCAGTCAGAATTTGACGGACACGCTAGCACGAGAGCAGGGCCAAGCTACCGATGGCGTTTTCAGGCCTTCTGAGGCAGACGAGCATGTAAGAAGAGAAAGGATCATGACAATCCAAAGTTTACAGGACTATTTTGAATAAGGGATAACGAGGTACCTATAACTACCATTACTGATATTACTACCATTACCATTTTTAATAAGATGTTTCTATATTACTACTATTACTGCGGTCGTGCAAACGATTTGGGTGAACTTGTGGCGTGAGGCCGCGATCCTCGTTTGCAGCGCTTCGACAGCTGGAGCCGTCCTGAAAGCAGGCGGGTCCAGGTGTTGAACAGCCTGGGGTCAACGCTGCCGTGTTTTTTGAAGCCAGCCTATCAATTCCAATGATGGTCCCGTTGTGTTCTTGGGGTTCCCTGTTTGGGGGACCCATTTTTGGGGTCTCCGTTATAGTCACTGTAGAGTCCGATTATTACTATAGTTCTGTCTGGTTACAATTATTACTCTTGGTATCATTTATTACAATTCCTACTATTACCATTACGATTACTATTACTATTCCCATCAGCACCTCTCCCAGCAGGCGGAAAGTTCGACGAAAAGCGGTTCAGGCTGATGCGCGATCCTCCGGATCCGCATGAATCATACCAAGTGGGTAGTTGCCAAAATAAGGGTCCCATTCTGGTACCCCTAGATATTAGGTGCCGGAATATAACCCATACCCAAAAGGGGCTCATAGTCTGGAGAATAGCCTAAGTTCTTAGTAGGGAGTAAAGGAAAGGTAATATAGGGTTTAGGGTGCAGGGCTCAGTTAGGATAAGCATAAATTTTATGAGGGATTATACAGGGGGTATGTGCCCTACTAAGAACCAGTAAGATAATCACTCAGATCCAGCTTTTCATAACTAGTTATTCTTGGTTCTGCAATACTGAGTGCTTTAGAGTAGAAATAAGAATAAGCCGATATGAGCTATAGTCTAAATTCCTAGCATCCCCCGACTAGCCCTTATACTACTCCCCTATAACCCGCTATATGGCCTCTATGAAGGAGTTTAGACTATAGCTCATATGAGTTGCCAGCATGCCTGCAAGTTGCTGCAAATTGGAGTTGGTGTGCGCGAATTGAGGTTATGCTCTCAACAAGGAGATACATCAACCTCGCCTTCAGGTGCCCTGCCACACAGTCAGATTGTTACTGCGAAATACACCCTCAACTCTAAACCCTTTTCGACCTGAGTGTCAGGTATATGCAAATGAGATACAGCGAGCGCATCGATTACCTGAAGAAGCTTTTCGACAGCAAGCTGAACAAGGCTGGGCGGCTCTCAAGCATTCTGCAAGCTTGATCCAGGTTTCTTGCTGTTCGAAAACTGCCAATCTTGTGTTTGCAGACTACGTGGAGGGTAGGGGGGATTTAGTAACTAGGCTAGTGATAACCCCTATAGCCCATGCAGTAACCCTACTTATCCCCATTATCAACCTACTTGCAAGTACCCTGCCCCTCCAAGTAAGGGTGGTCACACTGCTCGGCCAGAGCAGTACAGCATCTCCAACGAGGCGCTGGCCATGTGCATACTGCGACCCCAAGAGACTGGAGTGATACCCGCCCTGTTGACATTGTATCCTAGTAGAAAAAGTATATTATTATATTACAGTATGATATAATATAGTATGACATCTTGACATCGCTTTACATGTTCTGTCGTTCCCACGGCGACTGGTGGAGCCGCACTTCCTATCCTCGAAACTGGTTTTGTTGTCTAGTTGTAGATGTCCAGCAAGTGGTGTCTTGTAGAACAGTATTAATATCGTGCGCCTGATAGCCTTCCGATCCTGCCAGCTTTGTGCACGTATGTACCGGACGGTTACAGATTTGTCATTTGTGCATTCAAATGCTGGGCGCTTGCGGCGATTTACCTCAAAGTTCACCCCCAGAGAGCCTGCTCCTAAATTAGGGGTACCCTTTTGGGGGTCCCTATATGTAATAAGGACCATCGTATTTTGGGGTTTACATCGGTGATCTTCATCTTTGGCTGCAGGAGCTAAAGAATTTGGCGAACAAGCTCGGGCTGCCCGAACAAGAGGTCAGCCTTCTTGCTGGTCTGAGAGGCTTCTCAAAATCATCTTCTCTTTAGCCAAGGGGTTATCTACGGATAATGGAAAAATAAATTGGAAGCCACTATATTCTTTAGGGGTTATATGAGGGTTATACTGGGGTTATATAGGGATGATGGAAAATAAAATGGAAACTACTATTTAGGGTTTAGCGGCCTACACACTAGGGTGCCATTTTCGGAGTCCCCATCACAAGGGTTATTATAACAATTGGGGTGGCTATATTGGGGTACCGCTATTTGGGGAAATTGCCAAATTATGTGCTTTGGCCAATGTGCAAGCATTATGCACAGGTTCATGTCGTGTTTGAGCCTGTTCCGGTGTTTTTTTAGGAGGTGGAGACTTGGGATTCAGGGGGTTGATCCAAAAAACACAAACCTAGGGATGGGGATTTGAGATACCAAGATGACTTCAGGTTAGCTTGGCAAAGCCATAAGAGTTATAGTCTATACTCTTTAAAAGGGGTTATATAGGGGACTACTAGAGAGCTTCATAAGGGGGAGACTAGGAGTTTAGACTAGAGCTCATGAGAGAGCAGTCCTGATATTCGGAGGTGTAGACGGCGGTTCAAATTCCAAGGATAGTCGGTGGTTTCATAAATGGGGGGACCCCGATCAACATAGCCCCACGATGCTATAATCCGTATCAGGGGCCCCCCAAAAGGTATGCCCAACGTTGGCAAACCCACGTTAGTCCAAGAAAATAGAGACTACGGTATTAAAATGATAGTGGATACCTTGGGGATATGTAGGGATATAGGGCGCAATGATGGAGAATCAAATGGAAAAGAACATGGAGCATGAAATGAAAAATGGAATAACATAGGAGTTTATATAGCCATTAGGGTTTCCTCTAAGGTTCCAACCATGGGCGCCTAGTATGGGCCCGTAACCCTTGGATCCTCATATACCTACTATACCCTAGAGCTACCCTCAAGGGTCCTTACAATCCCCCTATATTGGGGGGCACCATACCAATCCAATCAAAATCCAAGCCACATGGTCGCGCCGCTTCAAGCCAAAGCGGCTGCCGCTTAAAAGACAGAAGGAGAAGGCATGTCGAAGGTAACCCTACTGTAGCTGGGCTCTTGTAAAACCAAATTTTACATTTTTATGGATACCTGGGCCCAATATCAAAACAAAAGATCTTTCATCAAGAGCCCAGGTAGGGTTTGGCCGTCTAGGGTTTAGGGTTGTATAAGGTCCCGTTAAAGCGGGCTCTAAGGGCCAAAGGGTCCCGTTTTGGGGCGTAAGGCCAAGCACATGGTCCCTAACAAGGCGGAAAGTTTGAGGTAGACGCCTCGGCGGAATCAGTGTTTTCGGGTGGTGGGACTCCAGAAACTTCCTATCTGCTAGCTCTCTCCATGAAAGTTTCCTAAATCAACATAGACCCCAATTCATTACAATCCTAATTATAGAGACACCCAAAAGGGTACCCCTCATTTTGGGGGAACTTCCAGATGAAAGATGACTGACTACACCAAGTCTGGGACCTGGTTACACGAAACTGTCACGGAATTCAAGCCCAGCAGCTTGCTGTGCCTTAAATACCTTCTTGGTGCACGGGTCATATTTCACCGTGGGGTTTCCGAAACTTTGCAATTTTGCATACAAGCGCCGCTTCCATGTTGACGAACGCCTGCAAGTGTTTCAGGTTGACGCACTTTCGGGCAGGAACATCGCTTTCTTTTTAGAGCTCCACACTGTTTAAGTTTGGAGAGTTTCTCATAGGCTTGCAGCAACGACGTTCAAACCTTAGACGGATCATCGCACGGTATGTCGCGTCTCTTTGAGAGTTACTGCATATTTTTTGCGATTCCCTGCAACAGGAACGTATTATGTTTTTGTGGCACGGATGCTCTGGTGACCATATGCTCTTGGAACAGGAATGTTGTTTTCACCAAGAAATCCTGCAAAACGCTCCACATCGAAAACGCCGAAGCCCGAATCTCGTAGAACATGCTGGCGACCCAGTCCTCAGCTCGAAAAGTGTGCGAAATACTACCCCGGCAAAATATGGCCCGTTGTCCACCTACTTGCTGCTTTCCCATAACTCGGGTTACCATTCGGGGGGCCCCCATCAAAAGGATTATAGGATTTAGGGACGTACAGTGGGGTCGTCCGATTTAGGGAAACTATCCCTTGTTGCAGGGGGGTACCCTTTTGGGCGTCTCTATATTAAGGACCATAGTATATTGGGGTCCATCTTGATTGAGGAAAACATTGATCTGTTTGAGTGGAATTCATGGCCAGGTCAACAATCTTGATGTCCAGTTCCGCCACTATGACTTTGATGGTAGCGGCACATTGGATCTCGAGGCACAATCTTCACAAGGGATTGCCATAGTGTGTTTATAGGGGTGATGCAGGGATTTTATAGGGATATCACCCTCAATGATGGAAGACGAATTGGAAACCGGGACTGTTGCCAGGAGGTGCGAAACATCCTGGCTGACATCGGACTGACTCCGCAGAACCGGGAGGAAAAGTTCGAGGCTGCCGGTCACTGTCACAGGTCACTGCAGCCATCTGCAGCCATTAGAAGCATGGCATTACACGTAAAGATCCTCACTAGCGCTGTAGAAGTGTGATTTCTTTGTCCGCTATCTTGTTCCTCGACGTCGTTGGAAGCCTGTTTCAAACCTTTCCGGCAACAGCCCATTCAACATGTCGTTAGAGGCGAATTACACATACGAAAGGTCACCGAGTGCATCAACGAGATGACCCAAAAGATCGGTTGCGAGGCAGAAGGGTCATGACCAGACGCAAGTGTATTGGATGACGGAGTCGTGAGCTCAAAAGGGTAACACATCAATACGCACCCGCATCAGCCTTTGCTTGTGCCGTCCTCCTGCCAGTCTTGCTAGAAGAAGACGGGTATTCGCGGTCAGTGCGTTCGCAGGACATAGTCACATACTCACATGGCAGGAGCAGCAGCCACAGCAGCAGCAAAGATGTGCAGTGACTCCGCATCAATGGCAGGAGTTCACCTTCGAGCCTTTTTTGGAGCTGTTGAAAGAAGTGCGAGAACGTGTTCGCCAGGCCAGCTACTACTGTAAGCTGCAGACGCTTTCAGACCTGGATTTTTTCAATTTACGCCAACATGGCATTGGCAGCTCGTCACTTCATCCGGCGGAGAAGGAAGTTGCTTGAACACCGTAGTATGCAAGCTTTTGCCTCCACATGCGCTATAGTCTAATCTTTTCAGATTTTAGAGGGGGCAAAACAGGGGATTATACAGGGGAGTATTATAGGGGTTATTAAGGGGGATGCTAGGAGTTTAGACTTCTGTCTTCACATCACATCTCCCCCTGCAAGCTTAGCAGGTCCAGAACGTGAAGTGCTGGAAGCTTTTCCATGAGGCTTGAGCCTTGCAGTCTACAAGGTAATAAAAAATAGGGTTTAGGGTTCAGGGCTTAGGGTTTAGGGCTTAGGGATAATAATAAGAAGAATAGTGATAAGAATAAACAATAGTAGTAATAAGGATAATGGTAAGAAGGATGAGAGTAAGAATAGTAGTACTCGTAATAATAGCAGAAGTAGTACTAATAATGGCAGAACAACACCCCCCAGCATTTCCTGTAGTCTCCTTGGCCATTTTTTCATTTTTAACATAGTAATTATAGTATAACCCTCAAGAATTAAGCTAAAATTCTATTTGTATTATAGGTCTAAGGAGACTACAGTTTCTTGCCTTGGAATAATTAATCGAGTGAGCAAGCTGCACCAAGCGCAAGGGCCAGTAGAGCCGATGCCTTCTTTCGAGGCTGACGTGAACGGGGAAGACAGCCTGGACATGACCCGAGTCATGGCTCTACTGGAGCTGCAGCTGATGCAATCCTGTGATGTGCTTGATGCCAACTTCGTCAAGTTCTATGGTAGTTTCCCAAAATGAGGGGACTCCAATATAGACCCCAAAATACAAAAGTCCTTATTATAGGGACCCCCAAAAGGCTACCGCTAATTTTGGGAAACTCCCCCATGTTTGCAAGTAGCCAGCAAAGTAAGAGCAGAGAGCAGGCGAGCATGGCTGTCACATTGATGACATGATGGATCACCTGCAGCTACAGGGGCTCGTCAGCTCGTGCATTCTTGCGAGTTATCGATTTGTTAGGATGAAGCAAAGAAGCTTCTCCCTGACCCAGACCCTGGCCTGCTACCCCGTGCCAGAGTTTGCCAATACGAGGGTCAAGGCACAGGTACGAGTGGATGAGCTGTGTGGATTGGACCTTGTCACTTTGCGTCCACCACCGGGGTTGCCACCACCCGGCTTTCCATGCCTGAGCTTGGAGTCTCCCGCAGAGAGGCACGCTACACATGCTACACCTGCCGAAGGCAAGACAAAAAACGAATTGCCTCACCCAGGCAACATTGGACATCCCTACGCATGCATCAAGCCTTGTGTATATCTCTTGAAAGGTGGTAGCTGTGCTGCAGGCTCTGGGTGCGACTACTGTCATTTGCCGCATGAGATGGGCCCCATAAAGCCGAACAAGATGCAGCGGCAGAGGCTTCGTCAGATGACGGACGGCGAGCGCTTGAGTGTATGTTTGCCACAAATATGGCGCCAAGCTCTCCACAGAAACCTCCTTCCCCAGGCGACTTCTGTCCTTCGGCTCCTCGAGGACGAGTTTCGGAAGATGGGCTCGCCCGGCAGTCCACAAGATATTCCTGGACTCGACAAGGTTTTGGCACGCATGTCCTTTGTGCAACTGGTGCTCTTGAGCATGAACAACGTGCCGCCTGATGAGCTCCGTGACGCTTTGGCTCAGTTGAGACTGAAGTTGCCACCTTCTTTATGACTGGCAGCTCTGCGTTTGAGCTATTGTGAGTTCCGCAGACCGTCTTTGCTTTCACCCCATGTGTCTCGGCACTGATTCTGAGTTTGAAGCCGCCTGCGCTCTTGAGTCCAGGTGGCTAAGCCAAGCAGCATTTATGGCGTTGAACAGCGACAGCGCTGCTTGTGTTGATGCAGTAAATTTTTAATGCAGAAGCAGACCCTAAGAGTTCATTTTTATACCCAGCTCGTCCCTGGATGTTTCGACTCATCTAATTCTAGCATACTCATCAACATGTCTATGGATAGGGAGTTCTAGGCGGGGCCTTCCAAAGGTTCTGACCATGGCATGTTTGCAAGCACGGGGACGTTCACCTGTTTTTGTTCCTCCTCAGCATCCGTGAAAATCGCGGTCAAGCCATTTTGCAGCCTCTGGTTGTGGACAAGCATGCTCCCATGCTTAGCAACCTCAGCAGCCATGGCGGCATATGAGCCATCGTGTAAACTCCTCGTATCCCCCTTAATAAGCCCTGTAGTACTCCCCGATATAATCCCCTAAATAACCCCCTTCAAGGAGTTTAGACTCCAGCCCATATGGCGGCACAATCTTCGGAGGTGTGGCAAGTCTCACAGCAGAAGTGACCTGTTCATAGTCCGTGAGCTCAATCGAACAACTGGGCATTTTCGGCAGCACAACGTAAACACTGCTGGTGAACTGCTCTGTGGGTGAGAGTGTCATGCATTAATATGATTATAAGAGCCTAAATCGTGACCAATACTATGGTTCTAAATTCCTCGCAGAATAATCATGGTCTTGGGTGCGCCATACAGACCTCCAACTGATATTGGTAATTACTTTGGTCCCTAGCGTCAGCCAGCCACGCAGACCTTCTGACAAACACTGTTTCCAGGAGACAAAGTTGGGACTCTTTCTTCGCTCAGCAGAGGAAAGCACTGAGGCCAATTCGCACAGCTTTGGTGCAAGCTGGATGTCCAAACACTGTCATACTGTAGCAGTTTCCATTTTCTTTTCCATTATCCCTATATAATCAATATTGCCCTATATTATCCCAATATGACCTATGATGACCTATGTAATATCACTCGGGGATACAGGGTTTAGGGTTAGGGGTATTGGGATTGACAAAAACACGACTTTCCTAGCAGCTGGATTTCGACGTTGTTGCTCATGCTGGACTGCAAGTAATGAGACAGATGACATGGACCTAATTCTATGGACCCACCAGGAAATGTGCAGTCGGTGCCTACTTAGAAATGCCCAGTCTATGTCAGTCGGCAGAGCGTGCAACTGCGCACGCTTCCTTTGGCGTTTGAGCTATATGTCGCAGGCATTCAACATCTTCAGCCAATGCGACAGCGAAGGAAGAGGCTTGAAGGGCATGGCACCGGACTTCAAGGCAGAGTAGATCCGGGAAGGATAGCACGTGAGGTGCGCTGAACCTGGATGAGTTCCAACTGTTCGTCCAGAAGGCCTGGAGCCTAGCAGGAGATCTGAAGGACCCATTATATTGGGTTTTGTATAGGATAATAATGGAAAATAAAATGGAAACTACTATAGTATATTGGGGTTATAGGGATAATGGAAAATAAAATGGAAACTACTAGGAAGTATAGGGATTATGGGTTTAGGGTTTAGGGTTGATGTTTCAAAGAAGTAGGTGCGCTCCACTATGGCATAGAACAATGCATCCATGGAACAAAGGCCCCCCAAGCTTTGCTAGCACAGGTGCGAGCCAAGTTGCTGACCCTTCGGCGAAGGGAGGAGGTCCTGATAGCGAAGAAGTTTCACGGCTTAACATGAGCTATAGTCTAAACTCCTAGTATCCCCCTGAATACCCCCTATAGTAATTCCCTATATAATCCCCTATATTACCCCCTTCGAGGAGTTTAGACTATAGCTCACATGGCTCATCCTTGGCTGGAGTCAGGTGCCTTAAACTATGGTGTTTGGATGAGAGTGTGCGCTCTTCATGGAGCCGTAACTGTTTCTTAGGGATGAAGGGCTGTATCACTTTTTTAGTTGGATGCCACATCGCAGCAGCAGTCAGTGTGACTTGGACGTCAGAAAGCGTGGTCCAAGATTCCGCCCACTTCACGGCAAAGCGTGGCAGAATGTAGAGTTGTTTGCTTGAGGTTTGATCTGGAACCGGAGCTCGTCAACGAATTCCGCCTCCCGCAGCAAACAAGTAGTGAGCAACAGTTCGCCTTGTGACGTTATTTCTTTTTCCGCCATACACAGGCAGTTATGAGACGTTGCGTCTGATCATGCAGGGCAAAGACGTTTTCTATGCCACGCATGTTGTTTGAGAATGCCTTTGCGCTGAGATGAAAGACATCTCCTGAATCCTTCCAAAATCCTAGAATGATAGTAATAATATTCATAGTAGTAATAAGTATAGTAACAAGTAACAATAATAGTACTAGCGAGAATATTATTAATAGTAATAGTGACAAGAAACTTCTAAGAAGATCCTCGTCATTCTCATCCCTCCTTCAATAATTGTCCCAACAGGGTACCCCCCCCTGGGAGAGAGCTAAACCCCTCTGCAACCTCCCTACGTAACCCTCTTTGCAAGGGCATCTAGTAGTGGTTCAGGGTTTAGGGTTTCCATCTATAATTTTTCCATTTGAGGGTTGCTTCAAAGGTCCTAGTCTTCCGCTCATAGCTGGGGTGACCATTTGAGAAACAGGCTCTGCAAAAGTGTTGCGAAAGAAGACGCTGCAAAAAACACACCTGCCCGTGATTGCTAGCCCTAATCCCTGGATGGTAGTTGTTCAACCTAATGTTTGTTTGGCGTTTCCATTTGGTGCTTCATTTTTGGGAGGATGTGATATTTCCATATATATATATATATCTATATACCTTTCAGAAAGGACCCAGGGTTTCCATGTTATTTTCCATTGTCTTCTCCAATTTGCAGCTACCGGAATAACAGCGCTGTAAACCTTTTATGACCCCAATATATACCCTACTATAATACGGTAGTTTCCGATTTCTTTTCCTTAATTCCTATAAAGCCCTTATCTCAACCCTAAACCCTACATAGTAGTTTCCACTGTTTTTCCATTATTCCTACATAATCCTTAAACAACCCCTTGGCAGCCTAAACCCTGAATCCTGTACCCTAAACCCTAATTAAGCCTCAGTGACCCCAGCGGAGAAGTAGTAGTTTCCCAAAATAGGGAAATCCCAATAGAGACCCCAAAATTCTATCACCCTTATTACAGGGACCCCCATGATGGTACCCCTGATTTTTGGAAACCTTAAACCCTAAAACCCTATATCACCCTTATTATTAAAACCCCATATCCCCTAGATACCCCCTACTCCCTAAACGCTAAAACCCAAAGTCTTGATCTCAGGTTCTAGCCTGCCCTTCCTGTGGAAGGTCTTCGAGCGATATTCCTTTGGTAGACCTGACCAAGGCTCTTCAAGGGTTTAGGGGTTTATAGGGTTCCTTATATATTCCATTATAGTAGTTTCCATTTCCTTTTCCATTATCCCAATAGATCCTTGATATAACCCCAATATAACCATCATCTATTCAGGGCTTAGGGTTTAAGACCTCTCCAAGGCTGTCTGCACATTTGGGTAGAGATTGCAGTGGTACAGAGTTGGAAAGAATTCAAACTGAGCAAGCTCGACCCAGTTCACGGAATTCAAGCCACCTTCGGTTTAGGGTTTAGGGTTTAGGGTCTGCCCCCCCCCCCCAACCCTAAACCCTAAACCGCCGCCAGCCACCCGAAAGGCTTACGAAAGGAGGACCTTCTGCCTTTCATGGTTGATGTCGGGACCGCGCCACCCAACACGGAAGAGATGCAGCTGCTCGGATGGGTATTTTGGTCACGACATTACCCCCATAACGGAGATGCAAATAGAACATGACATGGAAACTGGGTCTATGTCTATGTGGGGGTTTAGGTAGAGAGTAGGTTTTGGAGGTCTAGGGTTTTTGGACTGATGTAGACAAGTGTCCATTGCTTCAACGTCAGAATTCGTGCGGGGGCAATCGGCACACGATGATGCAAACAGGGAGGGCCACACGCATTGAATTCCTCAGCTGATGCAAGGTAAGCCATGTGGTGCGGATGTGCAGCCGTGTGCTCTAGTGCAGATTTGCTCTCAAGGTGTCTGCCAATTCTGGACATTATTAAGGAGTTTGCGAGGCCGTACACGAAGTTTCCCGTGGCTTGGCTGGAGCATAGCTTGGGTACTGCCCCCCCT